TTTTTCTTTTAATAATCCCTAGACCCTTGTGTTCTCGCACCGCTTCCCTGATGTACTCGTGCAATTTTTCGTACGATACGCTATGGATGATCTTTCTCCTGACGGCGTTGTGGCAACTTACGAATGAGACAGAAATGGTGAGGTTGAGCCGTGGTGTTTCTCTCTAGATAAATCTCTAGTAATACTTGAGCACGAATTATGAATTTCGGATGACATTTCTCCAGTAACGAGTTCTATATATCCGCAGATCGACAACCACTCTACATGTATGAAGTATGTATCGTTCATGAAGTATGAGAAACTTTTCTCTTTCCTATCATTTTGGAAACTATGTAAGATTCAACAGCGGTGCATAACACGATGAGACCAGCCACACCGTGTACGGGTATTATAAATAGATAGATATGTCCAAACGGCTCGACAAAGACCGGCTAATCGACGTACTAAGCAATGCACACCACAATCTACCAAGATTCTCCACCTGCATTACATCCTAGGATACTCAACAAACAACAACCTTCAGGCACCAACATACCATACTTCGACACTAAGGATATCGAACTTGACGCCTTCATCTGACAAGGGTTCGTTGCCGAATGTCTGGCACCCGGCACTTACACCTTTTTCAAGACTCGAGTCAATCCACAGACCATAATGACCATCTCTGCTTCGTTGTTAGTTACCATGTTCAGTCGCTGCCAGATATTCAAAAGAAAAGAGCTTACCCTCCGCCCAAACTAAGAAATCCCGTTTCACAGAAAATCATATAATCATTCACGCCGCTGTAAGGGAAGGCCTTAAACCGGATTCTCTCAGGAGTACTAGCACCGCTAGGAAGTCCACTAGTGGGCGGAGGAGCCAGCTTAGCATCTCTCGCCCGCAGAGTCGTGGATCGACCAGCATGTGTGGTATCAGCGCTAGGCGGGGGTGGTAGACCGGCGAGTTCGAGCATGTCCTCCGATGGGGGCCCGTCGCGGGGCAGGTTCAGGTTCAGGTTCGTGGGAGGAGCGAGAACGCTTGCGCGCCAGAGGAAGCATTCACCCGTACCGTAGTAATGAGAATCTGGATGCGGGGGGTCGGTCATATAAGCTCCGAACACGGCGCCGGACGGAGAGGCATCGCGGACGATGAGGACGTAGCCCGCCCGCGGGCTGCGGTGAGACATTTCTCGACAGTTTTCATAGAGGGTGGCGAGCGAGGCACCGTCCCGGTCCAGGCTGTAGGCTAGACGCCAGGTGTCGACGAGTTGCAGGCGGGCTGGGACTAGCAGCCGGATTTCCTCGGCCAGGGCACGAGTTAGGAGCTGTTCTTGGAGGTTGGAGAGGTCGCCGGTGAGGGTGAGGGGGGTGAGCGGTGGGGGTTGGAATGGTGATGCGGTTCGAACAGGGGTGAAGACCTGGGATGATGTGGTGGAGCCGTTTGGGGAGGTCATCGAATGTTGATTGCGGTTCATATTGTTCTTGGGCTTCGAGGCCGGTGGGTCGGTCAGACGACGGTAGAGGCCTGATACGACATGTGTGACGGGATAGGAGAAGTAGGATGCAGCTGATTGATGAATTTGAGAGTTCGATTGTCGAGAGCGAGATGCGGATCTCGAGCTAGAGGCGGAGGAAGGAAGCTCGGTTGACGACATGCGTGTAGCGGGGACGGGAAGGAGGGGGCGATGGAGGAGTGAGGAGGAGGAGGAGCTCACGGATCCAGGGAACGAAAATCTTTTAAGTCATTCAATTGGCTACAACCGAGCTGCAGAAGGCGGTGGACGGGCGAAATTGGAGAAAAGTGGGAAACTGGAGGTGAAGAGACAAGCAACGAGACGTGGAGGACAAGCGAAGAGACGATCAAGATAACAAAATATCTTTTAAGTTTAGTTCGTTTTTCAGGTCACGGGCGGGGTGATCACAAGCCTCATAGGGCGGCGGGACATAAATTGAATTGAATTTAATTGAATTTTTTGATTTTCTCTTATTATCAATCCTACAGGACAATTCGTTCGTCCTCATTCCCTAGCGTGTCACGCCTAATTCATCCTGACTGAATCTTTCGTAGTACTACATCAGAAGCTATCTATACTGCACACATAGCGCCCCAGAGATTTTATTTGAAAACGGAGCAAGAGATGGGATATCCGACAACATAAACATAGAATGAGGACTCTAGAAAGTGGAATAGTACGCTCTCATAAATCGTGAAGTGGCAGCCATCGGTAGATTTAGGATCCGTTAGGGCGCAGATCCACCGTCTCGAATTCAAGCCCCTTGGCTTCGAACACATGCCCAGGTCGTAGCGCATCGGTGTAGGTGTTGGTCTCGGGGTGTGGGTGAAACAAACCGGGCTGCGTACAGTTGAGGACCGTCTTGAGGCCAGGTGGGTCAGTCAATCGGAAAACGCCCCAGTCCGGCGTTTTGCTCGGAGCGCAGACGATCGCAATGCTCTCGGGAAGCATCACCTGGTACCCAGAATGAGTATGCAGATCTCTTGAGCTCATAAAGCACGTTTGGGTCGGGTGGGTATGGATCCAGCCAAGGATCATCAAATCCTCCGAGTCGCAGTATTCAAATATTGCAGTTTCGTTCACCGTTTCACAAGTGTCCGAGGTGGAGGTTTGCTCGGGGATGAGAAGCCGGGAGATGAATAGAGCGTTGGATATTAAGGTCCCACAAAGTATACCACATGTTTCCAGGTTGCGTCGTGTGTTCGAAGCGGCGAGCGAAAGGAACGTTGATCGTAGCTCTGGGGGTAGAAAAACCGTCCGGAGAGGGGTGCCATTCTCCAGGTAGGCGGACGGTTTGAAGGTGAAACTAGATGGGTCCAGGTTTGACCGGCCATCCCCACCATCCGCAACTGGCTTGACTTTCGCTGGAGGAGCTGGAGCTTGTATTTGAGCTGCGGATGTCAGGGGCGTAGGGGAGATCTTGTCCGGTCTTGGTGGCGGCGATGAGACCACCGGCTGGAGAGGCTCAAATCGTTCTTTTGGAGGCCGCACCGGAGCTGCTGGGAAGGACATCGTCGCATCTCTCGTTTCTTTGGTCACGGAGGGCGCAATATCTAGCGCCTTCTGACGAGGCACTGTTGGGTACTTATACGTGGACGTAGAGGATCCTGTAGTCAACGGCCGTGCTGTGGATTCTGTTGCCTTCTTTTGACGGTCCGCATGGTCCATATTGATCCTCACATTTTTAATCCGTCGACTCAAGTCATTGTCTGTCCCTGGGCCATTCTTGTCCAGAGCGTTCTCCCAGTCACCCCAGATACCTGCCGTGCGCCGACGCTGCTCCTCTTCGGGTGTTATTCCAGCTTGGCGTACAGCTTTCCTGGCTGTGGCCCTCCGGTGTATTTCCGTCCTCGCTAATCTGACAGCCAGGTCTCGATTCTCGCCAGCCTCCAGAGGCTCGGCAACACCTACTAATGCGGGATCCTGAGGCTGTTGCTTGTTCGGCACGGTCTGAGTCGTTCCTAGAGGTGGGCTTCGAGCTTGGCGATCATTCATCAACTCTGTATAGCGTTTATGTCGTTTATTGATTCGAGGTCTGAGGATTTCCAACTTTTCGAGATTTCTGCTGACTTCCTTCTCCGCTTCCATCAGAGCTTTTCGATTCTGCTCATCTTTGGCTTCCGAATGCTTTGCCAGGTTTACGAGCACCAACTGAGCATGGCGAAATAATAGGAAGTACGCTTGTTCATCGTGCCCCTCTCGTTCGTATATACGAGCCTGCAAAGGAAACTGCTAGTTAGCCCTCCGAGTAACAACAAAGCTAATGGCATGAAACTGACCTCTCGCAGTAAAGTCGCTGCGGTCCTTAGCCAATACCGTAGAGGAATCGAAGGGTTGTAATCATAGTTCTGCGCCATTCGGGTGATTTCCTCGACCTTTCGAGGGGCTGAGGCCCCCGCGCCTGTGGCCGGAGGCATATGCGAGGCCATGATTGCGCATACGAACTGAGAATACGTGAGGGAAATCAGTAGTAGAAGGTCCGGTAACACAATATAGCCGGTTTTCAAGCGACTCGTTTGATCGTAAGGTGAAACGAGGGATCATCGAGGTCTGCCGCCAGAGCCCAAGAGACGGCGTGTGGGGACGTTCCGCATCGACGGAGCAGGCAGCCGGACTCTTGTGAAAACCTTGGGGAAGTTATATGGCAAGATAAGGACGGATATAATCTGTCGGATAATAATTGATTGATTAAAATGAAACCGGTGCTGTAAGAACAGCAGATTCAGGTGACCGAAACATGATCTGAAAAGGCTGTGACCAAGTCGAAACAATGAAACAACAGGTGATGGGTTGAGTTATTTTGAGCTCATTGAATTTATTTGATTTATTTAAATAAATTTAAGAAAAATAAACTGCGGGTCCTTTCCTCTTTGGTCTCCGTTCCCGCCGCCGCGGTTTCTCAGAAGCTTCCTCAACTTTTCCCTTTACGATCTACTAGAGGATAAGTACTCTACAGACCAATGATGGAGAGTCGGTGTGGGTATCATACGACATCCCTGACTTGTACTTTAAGATGAGACTAAATCGGTGGACGCCCGTACCTCATTTGCCCTTAACAGAGGCGCTTTATAAGTGCTTCCCTTTGACCGCAAAGAGAAAGTCGATTCGGAAGGCAGAAATAGCAAGTGAAAAACTATGCGGTGAGCTACTTCTCAAGACAAATATTATATAGAAGGAGACTCTGATGCATCGAGCCTCTTAAATAGACGATGTTCTTAACCGTCTATCGCCGTTCATCCTTCGCAACCCTGCCGTGGACATTCTCGACCTATGGCCCGGCGCTGGATTATGGTCATCGAAGATCAATGAACTTCTCAAACCCCGCCGACATGTCCTTATCGAACCCGAGTTGAGGCTATACAAGCCATTGCTTCTGCCTTTGACAGAGAACAACCCTAGCTATAAACTACTGTCTGCGGATATCCATGCTATCGCGGATTGGCAAAGTATACTATCGACGCATTTCCCGGAGCAAGGGCCATCAAACCGTGACAACAGTGGCATATTGCCCAAGAACGATACGCTCCTTATCTTAGCCAACCCGCCTCCAGTTGCCTCTAAAAAAGATCACTATACCCCAGCACGCTGGTGGTCGGTTTTCATGGAAGCCTGCATGCACCAGACGGGGTTACATGCCTATGGAAGCGTGCGTATGATCGCATCACTCCCCATATCGGATGCACAACAGGTCATTCCGCGGACCATCATAGAGCGTAAACGACCGGCAATTTTGACAGAAAACGTTGCATTACATGCATTTGAAGTCGCAGCTCCAAGAGACCCCAGCGCATGGGCTACACTCAAGGGGTGGGATTTGGTGACGGCCAATACCTCGCGGGTTGCTCAGAGAGCAGCAGAGCAGGGAGTTCCCACCCCTCCTGGCAGAGAACTACCACCCATCCCCTTGGCCCCAGAAAGTCCTGACCAGGGCACGATACCCGTGCCTTACGTGCCGCGCGCATTTACGGAATGGCATGAGAAAGTTTGGAAGAAGATCACTACTGATACGCCTGGAAAGGAAGGCAAACGGAGTCCGACGCAACGACGAGGCCTAACCCAACTGAACAAAGAGAATCGCGACGTGTATACACGCCAGTGTCAGGCTACAGCCATCGCTGAAATCGACGAACTAACAAACACTTTGTCCCGGACGGCTGCGAATCCCCGCGAGAGTTCGGCCACACTGGGGCCCATTTTAGATAAGATCGAGGCCGCCAGGTCTACTTTGGATCAGATATCGTCGGAAGTACACTACGAAGTACTTAAGGAAGTTCCCGCCGTCGTTGATAACAAGCGGGAAGCTCTGCATACCGGAAACTTCGACGATGCAATTCTCCACTGGGACCGCCGCCCTTTCGAACCATTGCTCATCACGCCAGAAGAGCTCTATCCCCGAGAAACCGAGAGAAGCATTCTCTACTTTGAAGCCGACCCAAACCCCGTAGCCGTGCAGAAACTCAACCAGCTGGATCCGTCGCAAAGGGATGCCCCTCTTCGCCTCTTCGAAGCCCTCTCTCTCACCATCGGCACCCGTAACCTAATGACAGTAGCCGAGTTTCTGGAACTGGTCTTTCCCGGACGGCCTATCAACGACATCGTCAAGGCCATCCCAGGCCTAGCGGTCTTCGCAACCAAAACCCCCAAGCCAGATTTCGATAATCTGCCCAAGACCATCCACGGTTCACCTGGGGCCCGCGAACCTCTCGACCCCGTCGCATGCTACCAGGAGAACCTGGACTACAACCTAAGCGACGTACGAGTTCGTACTCTGTCGACCAGTACACTGTGGGATATCTTCATCGAGTACCAGAAGAAGGGCAACACGAGCCTCTCCACGGTGCAACTAAGTCGACTACTCGGTGGGACGTTGACGTCCTTCCGGACTGGAGATCTGGAACTTCGGAAAAGATACCATTAGCATGTCTTATTCTATACTTGCGCAGGAAACCTCACCGACATCCACTCTACTCACTCTACTCTACCCACCTCCTCCCTTTACCGCTCCGTGCGGGGAGGACTTTATACCCAAACCTCCGGGTTCTATACTATGTTTTATGAGCTGTGTATCTTGTATTATACTGTATAACGGTTACGATCTATAGACATATCTGCCTATATAATTACCTTTGATAGACTATCGAGATGAGAAATCTTACATTTTTTGACATAGTCCAATATTTTATTTACGAGTCTTGTATTATTGTCCACGGTACGGTTTGTGGGGTTGAAAGTTCCAATTGATATTCTAATACATGACAAGAAGTGAAAGCATTTGAGCGCTTTCCAGAAACAGGTTCTCTTTTATATTGAGATGGTCTAGAACGAAATATATGCTGAACATCCACACGTCGACACATGACAGTCAAATAGGGTATCATTTAGTAGTATATTGTGAGAAAAGAAAGAGAAAATAATAGTATGGGAACGGCAAGAAGTTGAAACTCGTCGAAAGAAGAAAAAAAAAAAAAAGGAAATATAATGGAAGAAAGAATAAAAAGAAGAGATGAACGAGAAGAACCCAGTTGGTTCATATAATGTGGTAGAAATCGAAAGGTATATAAGAGTGGAAAAAGTAGATGTAGAATATGTCTTCGAGAAGAGCGGAATCGAGAGTAGTGGACCTTTTGGTGTGAGACTTTAGGCCATGGCAGCGATTAATTCTACCCATTCATTGGGTTGTATACGTTGAGATGGGTCCTTCGAAACGGCAGGCTTGACCACCTGCTCGACAGGTCCGTTACGAGGAACTCGGGAACCATTATGACCCGATCGGGCAAAGTCAATGACCTGGTGACCTTCACGAGCCATGGCGAGGCGCTGCATGTTGCTGGTGCCAGGATAAAGCAGCAAATCGCCTGTCGCCGCTGCGAGGAGAGTGACCGCCAGCGAAAACACATCGGATGCGGGAGTGGGACTGGTGCCCGGAGAAGTCAAAGATGACACGGATAACAGCTCGGGGGGGGCGAAAGGTGGTGTCAAAGCCGTTAATGACGTTCCTGTTTCTTTCTCTGCGGACAGCGAAGAACCGGTGGTGTTATGTGCGGATGAAAAATCGGCGAAAAGCGGTTCAAACGGGAATTCGTCGGATTCTATATCGTTGCTAGTCGGTCGTGATCTCAACAAGATGTTATGCGGTTTGATATCCCCGTGCACTATTTGGCACTGCGCGTGAAGCCAGTGCAAACCGGTGATGAGCTTCTTTGCAAGCTCTTGCCACTGAGGCATACCTTGCACAGGATCGAACATGGTCCGAGTGGACTTGTGTTTCTGGGCCAGGTCCGCCTTTTCTTCGATGTACGATGAAAGAGAGAGGGGCACAGCCGACATGACTATGGAGTGTGATTCAGAGATGTATCCATGGAAAGGGATGATATGACGCTCCGAACCCGGCATTCGACTAATTCGAGTTAATGCTAACGCTTCGGCGTCAAGCACGGCGTGTGCATCTCGTCGCACAGGAGATTTGACCGCTACCACCCGACCTCCACCCGCAGGTGAACTAGGAGGAGTCATCAGAGGTGATTTTGAAACGGGGCGAGATGAAGCTTTGTAGACGACACTCCAAACACCACGACCGAACTCAATTGGCCGACCTTTCGGGTCATATTGAAACTCTAGCTCATCAGAATATTGAAGAGGGCTCGAGGGGCGCGCATCGTCCCCAAAGAGATCTCTTGGCTTTTCTCCTTCAGATACAAAGGAGCTTGAACGACTTGATCCTCCTGTCCTCGTACCGCTTGAGTAATTTTCGTCGCCCTTAGTAGGGGTGACTGGAGGGGTCAGTCCCGGCACCACTGTTAGTGGTGGCATGGGTGTAGCCTTGTCATTTTGATTTTCGGTGCGAATCGATAGTCGTATAGGAATATGCGCAGCCATTTTGAAAATATCCGAGGTCGGTAGAGGATGTTCCCAGTAACCAAGCACCCTATGTCAGGTGCAAGGTATAAGAAAGAAAAGTAAATGTATGAATCAAATGGATGCGAAATCAAGTCACGTTTTGCTTTCAGTTGACTCTTAAAAGATACCGACTTGAAGATTGGGTATATATAGATATGTGTAAACCAGTGACCAGATCAGAGATGGTAGAGAAGTCAAATAAGGAAGTGGACAGCGCCTGGTATATAAAGGCCGGTGGCAACACTGCGTACGGGTAACGTCCGGAGCCAAAGATTGGTTCGGAATGAATGAGTCAAACACTGGTCAGAGATTACTGGAATGCTAGGTAATGTATAGTGTCAGATAAAGATAACGAAATGATAGCATAGTTGATTAGAAATTAAAGATAAGAGAAGGAGGAAAAAAAGAAATCAACAAGATATCTAGAAAGAGGGGAACAAGGAGTAGAAAAAGGAATGACTGGTTTAGTCTGGACCCCAACGGATTTTATTTATTTATGTTTTTTTTTTTTTTTTTCAAGGT